AGAGACGCCCGGGGCGGCTGGTTGCGTTAAAGTCGTCTTCGAGTAGCGGTTTGTACCGAAGCGCTGCGTCGACGTACGCAATATAGTCGGCTTTGCGCTCGATCGCGTCGACGTAGGCAGCGTGGAGCGAGCTGAGGGTGTCTTCGCGCGCCAGATGCCACTGCTCAACGTCCAAGCGCGCGTCTGCCTCGAGCGACGCCAGCTGCGCTTGTGTGCGGCGCTCGGCCGCGAGCGCTTGGTCGGCGCGGCGAATGTGGGCGTCACCAAACGCGGTCTTTGGAAGGCGGAAGAGGCGGAGGTGCTTGGTGGTGTTGGCGAGCGCCAGGCCGAGCGCTGCCGGCCGCACGTACATGGCCTCCATGGTCGCTTGTTGCTTCGCTTGGATCTCGCGCACGGCGGCATCGAGCATGGCATGGACAGCGACGACGATGTACGGCGCGGGCAGCCTACGACAATATAGTGTCTATCAATACTTTTGTTGCACTATCGCAGAACGACCGAGCGCTGAGGACCGTGTCCTGGAAGAGATGCACGCACTGCACCGAGGTGGTCGCCGCCTCTTTCTGAAGTACTTTCTCGAGTCGCTCGAGTTGCGCGAGCCGATGCGTCGGCACGAGCGCAAAGGCGTTGGATACTTTTGACGCCGTAGCAGTCGTCGACGTTGACGTCGGTAGCGTCAGCGGACGGCTGTTGGCAGCCGCCAGCGCGACCTCGGCTGCCTCCATCTCATGCTGATTCATGTGGGCGAGCGGCGCAGCAAGCGCGGGTACGCTGAACATACTCGGGTTGTGCGCATACAAGGACGAGAGAAGGTGTTCTTGCTTGGGATGCGACGCGGCCCACCACACTTGCTGGATCGAGGCGTGCGGGGTGCGAAAAGCCTCGAGCGGCGAGCTAGCGCAGATAGTAAATATGCAGTTTGGTTCGAGATGGAATCGCCGTACAGAAAGGACGGCGATCGCGGCTTGTGGCGACGGTGCGGCAGCGAGGCAGCCATCGACGGGTACGGCCGCGACATGCCCGTGCTCTCGTCGCGCCGACGCTTGCTGCCCATGTTCGCACTGCCAAGCGTTACGCGTTTCGGCTCCACCAGGCGACGAAGACGACTTGTCCACATCGTATTGTTGTCAATCGGATTCTAGAGAAAAATGTTAGAGTCGACCTCTGCTAGTGCCACGGTGTCCTCTTCGCACGTACTACAGTAGTTACTACCGTTCCATGGACCAGGATACACACGGCAGGTGATTCAGGATCGCTTGGACGTGTGATTTCACACTGCTTTCCTTCGCAAGGACGGCATCAAACCACCAAACTTTCGTAGTCCAACGACAAAGTTCAAAATCCGTTTACACTAACCTACGCCTTCTTGTTGGGGAAGGACGCGACGAGCTCGGCGAACGGGTGGGGGCCCGTAAAGTCGTCGTGGTGCTGCTTGCGCGTCGACGACGTGAGCAGCGAGTAGTCGAAGGCCGGGTGCTTGGCCTTGTTGGCGACGAACGACCGGTCGTCCCAGACAATGTCAAACGAGTTGACAAAGAACTGACCAAATTGCGTCGCGTACCGGCGCACTAGATAAGTGGCATACACATCCATACGCTTCGTTGGTAGAAGACGTACCTGCGTCGTACGAGATGAAGTAAAAGCCGCAGCGGTCCGTGTCGTTCTCGCGCACCGTCTTGGGGCTACAGCCATAAGGCTTGAGGTCATCATCAACCGACAAAAGGCTACCGGAGCGTGCGCGCGAGCTGGCTTTCCAGCATCGGGAGGAGGCAGTAGTCGCGCGCGGTGCCAGCCTTCTGGTTGTACTCCCACACGCACATGAGCGTCATACGGTCGCCCCAGTCGGTCGTGTTGCGCACAAAGTACGTTGTGTCGGCGTTGACGAGGCAGTGCGCGCTGTCGGTACAAGCGAGCTCGAGCGGCTGGACGTTCATCTTCGCAAACTCCTGTGTCGTCGCCGAGAGACAGTCTTCAATGCCCTTGTTGTACGACGTCGTGCCGTTGCTGCTTGGCGTCACGAGGAGCTCGTCGGCGTTGCCGCACATGTACCAGCTGGTCGGACTACCATACACGCTGAGTGCAAAATGTAGTACAACCCAAACCCTACTTGTAGCTGTTGGGGCAAATCGTGCGTTCTTCCCAGTCCGAAATGTCCTGGTGGCTGCATGACGCATCTGTGCACGATAGAGAACGATGGTAATACCTGGAGCCAGTACTTGAGCGTATGGCTGCCCTGGCTCGGGCCGTCGGCCCACGAGTTCTTTAGAATGAAGCCGCCGACCTCGCCTTCGTGGTTGAGAAACGCGTCGTTGTAGCCGACGAGGTGCATTGCGTGGCCGCCTTCGTACGCCAAGCCGCGGTGCGCGTAAAACTCGCCTTCCATGTTGGGGTTGCGGCTGCCTGGCGCGGGGACGCAGCACGTGGTCATGGCCATGTCGCTCGGGCACAGCATGCACTTGTCGGACGTCAATTGGCAGTGCGGGTCCTTTAGGAACGGGCCAATGCACGGGTAATAGTGCAACGACGTAGCGACCGGCGTTGAGAGCGCCATCGCCTTGTTCTGGCGGAACATCTCGCGCTTGATGGTCAAGTCGTCGTAGTACGTGTCCATCGAGCGAACGTCAAACTTGATCGGGTTGGTTGCCAGCGCCGCGTCGAGGCCGGGGCATACCGAGTTGTTGCCGTCATGGGTCGTGTACGGACACACGGAGATGGGCAGCACCGACTCTTTGAGACCTTCCTTGAGGTAGTAGACGTCGTAGTTCTCGCCGCCCTCGGTCGTTTGGTTCCAAATCTAAACACTCCGACAATGTGAGATCTTTGACAGAAACGACGTCGTACAAAGTCACCACCGACTCGGCAGTCCTTTTGCTGCGGCGAGTTGGCCTCGCCCGTGCAGAGCTTCATGATCTCAATGCCGTACGCCTGCATGCGAGCATGAGCCGACCTCGAGATGGAGGAGGAAGAAAGCTCGTACCTGCTCGGAGAACGCCACGTACTCGTCCGGCGCGAGCCAGCCGTTGCGCACACCGTGTTCGCGGTACGACCACTCGAGGAGCGCAATGGTCGAAAAGTCCCAGCACGTGCCCCGGCGCGCTTGGTCCTGGCGCGGCGTGACGTACTGGACTGCAAACTTGGGTGGAAGCGACGCGATAGAGAGCTGCTGGGCCGCCTGGGCCGCCTGGAGCGACTGCAATTGCGTGAGCGAGTCGTTGACGCGGCTGCCCACGAGCACGATGCCGCCGAGGACGAGCACGTTGACGCCAATGAAGGCGCCGGCGGCAACCCACGTCCAGCGCGAGAGGCGCGGCGTGCGGCGCGGGCTGACTTGGATCAGACCTTCTTCCGAGCCATACTTGAGCGGGACGCGTGCGGTGGCCATAGCGTGGCTGTTGTCGGTGCTGGCAAAATGCAAACTGAGCGCTACGAAGATCGCAATGCTGCAATGTTAGCAGAGAAGCCAAGTGGAGTCAACAGGAGAGAAGTGAGTAAACGACCTGTCTGAGTACAGCTCAGCTGGAGCCCTCGGCGATTGCTGCCCACACGAAGGCGTCGCCCGTGCCATCACACAGTGGGATTTTCGCTTCGTATTTGTTGAAGTCGATGTTGAAGTGCAGCGGCGAGACTGCCCCATGGAAGCTCGGACAGAGTCGGCGCTTCGAAGTAGCTGCCATCGCCGACGCGCGCCATGATCGTGCTTGACGTCACCGCGGCGTCTGCTGAGAGCTGGCGTCGTAGCCACTCGTGGGCTCAAGCCGATCTCGTGCATCTGGGTGCGTGCGACACGGGCGGAGAGTGCACCGTCGCCGGCGCAAGTGGCCAAGGATCGCTCAAGTTCGCCCGCCGCGGTGACCTCCAACGACGACTGTCATGCGTGCATGTTATAGCCACTGCTCGGTGCGTGTAGACAAGCACGATGGTCTCGTCGACTCAAGGTCTCGAGGTCTCGAGGTGGCGGCTGCAAGTCGGACCCACATCGATCCATGTCGCCGCCGCCTTTTCATTGTATTTTAAGCGTTGACGGTACTCCTACTACTCAACTATTATAGTTTGAGGGCTAGGGAATATATACCAACGATGCAGCTCTCTCAATGCAGTGGACAGCAAAGATGCACAAACTTGTCGAGTGGCGAGTCCGCAAGAATCTTCCGGCGGCGTATCCGGATAACGGATATCCGGACTTGCCACATACCGCTTGGGATCATTTTCGAATTGCGCAATCTTCCAGCATGAGCGGCCCGCTGCGCATCGGTATGTTTGGCTGCGGCACGGTCGGCGGCGGCGTCTTTGAGATCTTAACCTCGCGCCTCCAGTACCTCCGCAGCGTCGGCGTCGACGCCACGGTCGCCGCCGTCTGCGTCCGCAACACGGCCAACCCGGCGCTCAAGGCGCTTCTCGCCGGCCACGCGACCACGGTCACGTCCAAGTACGACGACATCCTCGAGGACCCGTCGATCAACTGCGTGATCGAGCTCATGGGCGGCGTCACGGACGCAAAGGACGTGGTCTTCAAGGCGATTGCGAAGAACAAGCACGTGATCACGGCCAACAAGGCGCTCATCGCCAACTTTATGCCCGACCTTACGGCGCTCCTCGCCGCGCACCCGAGCGTGCGCTTTGGCTACGAAGCCTCGGTGTGCGGCGGCATCCCGATCATCCACACGCTCCAGAGCTCGTACACGGGCGATGGCATCCAGGAGATTGCCGGCATCATGAACGGCACGACCAACTACATGCTCTCCAAGGTATCCCTCGTCTTCTTCTACATGCGATATGCTTATGCGCCATGAGAGTAGATGGAGAAGGAAGGTGCGTCGTACGACGCGGTCCTCAAGGAGGCGCAGGACTTAGGGTTTGCCGAGGCGAATCCGAGCGCCGACGTGGACGGCTACGACGTGCAGGCGAAGATTGCGATCCTCGCCAAGCTCGGCTTTGGCTGCCATGTCGCGCCGGCGAGCATCCCGACCACGGGCATCACGCGCATCAAGACGATCGATTTCGAGTACGCCAAGCTCATGGGCGCCACGATCAAGCTCCTCGGTATCGCCAAGCAGTCGAGCGCCGACGCGATCTCGGTGTTTGTGTCGCCTGTCGTTGTGCCCACGACCAACGTCATTGGTACGGTCCACGGCGCGAGCAACATTGTCAACATCGTCTCGGCCAACTGCATCAACGGCGCATACGTGGGCCAGGGCGCCGGCCGCTTCCCGACTGCCAACTCGGTCGTCAACGACGTGGTGCGTCTCGCGCAGAGCGTCGTGCCGGTGCCGGCCTTTGGCAGCACCCGCAACGTCGCGATCCAGAACGACTACGAAGGCCGGTTCTATGTGCGCGTGCGCCTCGCGGACGGCCTCGGCATTGTCCGCCTCATTGGCACGCACGCCGAAGAGGCCGGTATCTCGATCGACTCGATCCTGCAGCTCCCGATCACGGACCGCAACAACGTCGATACGGTCGTGACGACGGACCTCGCCAAGGTGTCGCAGGTCCAGCGCATGTGCGACGCGCTCGCCACGCTGCCGTTCGTCCAGGAGATCCCGCTCTTCCTTCCGATCTTGTAATACTACGAAGACGATGTCTCTGACGTTTTTCACACTTTCCATCTGCACCGTTGAATTTGTTGAACGTCAGATGCAATGATGTCTTGTACAATAGAAAGGATACGCGAGAAGCAAGAATGCGTTCGCATCACGACGACCCGTCGTTGACTGGAGCGTCCACGGCGGCACAGGCTTTAACCCGAGCCCTACCCTAGTCCTAGCATTTGCCCGAAGCCTTTTCAAAGACCTTTGAGTCTACCGGGTAGTTTGACCTGTCGACGGCGGTGCAATGGTCTTGGCACAAAAAGACTCAAGGGCAAGGCCAGCGAGTTGCGATAGGTCGGGGAGCTGAGCGTCGGCTAGAGCGTTTTCGATCCTACTCGCTGGATCATGAAGCCTAGGCAATTTAACGTTTTTGTGTTTGCAAATGCGTCGATTCGTTGCGACTGCGAGAAGACGCGATTTCAAGCACTGTGCTGCAACCAACATCACAACAAATCACTACAACCAGTAGACTCGATGTGGCTGAAAAGCTTTCTTGTTGTTGTTATCGTTAAAATACCAAAGTCAAAACGAACCTTGATAGTATAGATGGGTAAGAAACCCGCCGGGACAATGGCGCATCGCATTCTCCGTCGTCGAGGTTTGAAGTACGCTCCGGCGCTGGAAACCACGCCGAGATTTTTGCATCGGGCGCCGTGTCGATCGTCCGGCGCTCCTTGATCGTCCGGCGCTCTGTCATGTTGGCTTCAGCCGCCGTTCTTGCGGCGCCCACCGCTGTGGGGCCCACTGCCGCAATCTTGACGGGCTTCTTGTGGTCGCCCTCGGCCCGCTTCGTCGATTTGACGGGCTTCTTCTTCGCTTGGCGCGCCTTTTTCGATGCTGACGTGATTTGCGAGATCCGCTCTTCGATGAACGCATCTTCGAGAGCGCGGGGGACCTAATGCACCTTCTATGAGCACGCGAAGCGAATCCACGCAGTTGTACACAGTTTCGGACGCGATTGACCTTCACGACCTTTGTCCCATCGCGGCTGAGCCCCAGCTTCGTACACGCGTCGTCCAACTCGCGATCCTTCATGACCAAGCTGTTGGGCTTGCGCAAACGGGCAATGAGCGCCTTGAGCTCCGGCGCCTAACAATGTACATGTTGACACGTGCATTGCGGTGATCGCGCGGATGCTTACTTGGTCCGACGTCTTGTTTTGGCGAGCCGCCGGTGGCGCTGGCGCGTGCTGTGGAGCGACTCCTTTCGCAGGAAGTCGCACTGCGTCGGGGGCTTGTCGTCGTCGTCTTAGCCGTCGTGGGGGTGGGCGATCTCGCCGCGTCTTGCGCGAGACGCTTCGTCTGCAGCGAGCATGAGTCGAGAAAAAGAGGCGGATGGTTTGTACCTCGGTGAGCTTGTCCTTGCGTGTTGTCGATCGTGCTGCGGTGCTGAAAAGTTGGTACTGAGGGGATTTAAGCCTGGAATCAGTATACCGTACTGTGAGTTTTCACTTCGTTCGCCAAATCAAACGCATCTAAACATATGTATACTATACAAACATCCATATGTATAGATCATGTCCATCAACTATTAATACGGTACAGTGTACTCGTATCGCCAATGCACGACGAGGCGCTTTTGGTTTTGGTTGACGATTTTCGGATTGAGATGGCGAACGATGCACGCTTGCGTCGCGTCGCGTCAAGAGAATAACCAGCTTTTCCCTTGCGTCAAGGTTGCGCACGCCCAGTGTCCAGTGCACTTCAGTCGTATCGGTGGTGTCCATTTCGATGCAGAATTGACGTTCACACTTTCGGACCTTCCCTTGGTACACGAAGTCGACAATGAACATGGTTGCGAGACAGCTCTGTGAATGCCAGTGAAATGCTTGTTAAAGTTAGTTGGTGATACGACTAAACGCAGTGCGGTTGTTTAAGTCTACTTAGAGAGACGCGAGCGTGGGGTGGGCGGCGACCTCGGCCGACGACAGGCGGTGCTCCGGCTCGGGTTCGAGCATGCCGGCGATGAGGTCGTGCAGCGCCGCTGGCGTGTGCTCGGGAATGTCGATCGCACCGCGAACGACAAAGTGCGGCAGATGGGCTGCATTAGCCAAAAGCTCGCAGAAAACAATGCCCAGCGCCCAGACATCGATCTACATGCAGAAAAAGCCAATGAGACGACGATGTTCACATTTATGCGTACCTTGAAGTCAGAGGGCTCATCAAGGATAAGCTCTGGAGCGTGGTAGCGTGCGTTGCCTCGGATGGGTCTGCGGCGACGTTCGTCTCTCATGCGCGCGATGCAGTAGCCGTAGTCGCCAATCTTGATGTTCTCCTAGTACGACAACACACAAGCTTCGCCCCATGCAGCACATGCGAGAGGTTGTACGTTGTAGTCGAGAAAGATGTTCGCTGGCTTGATGTCGCAGTGAATCACGCGGCCTGCATGGAGCGCGGCGAGACCCGTGGCGATCTGGCGGACCAGCTTCTGGATGACCGGGAGGGGCAGCGGCGCGCGGGCCTTGGTGTACGCCACGAGGTCGCCATTGGGACAGAGCTCGGTCACGAGGACGATGTGAGCGTCCGTGAAGAAGGCTTCGTACAACTTCATCAGGTTCGCGTGCCGGATGCGAATCGGCAACTCGATCTCGCGACGGACGCAGCAAGGGTCTGCCGTTGAGAGAGGGATCATCTTGAGAGCGACGAGGTGGTCGCAGGACAAGGTGACCGCGAGGTTGACGGTAGCATGAACGCCGACGCCGATCTCCTTGATGCAGCGGTATTTGTCCATCGTCTTGCGTCTGGCGGTGGCCGGTCCAAGTTTCAAACTGGCAGTTTCCTGTATCAAAAAGCCTCTTGAATTGTATAATCCAAATATGCATTATGAGAGGGTTTTGGGGCTTGCACCTTGAACTTCAAGGTGCAAGGCTTGGCTTCAAGGCTTGAAGTCAAGCCGGGAAGCGGGGTGCATCGCGATACTAGTAGCCTCAAAGCAACATAACGACGGTTGATGCCTTGCACGACCCGCGATATCCTGCAATGTCAGACTGCATCGCTCGGAGCGCTGACGGTGCGCGCCAGTGGCGTCGTAGAATTGGGTGTGTTTAGCCTTTTCCGGAATCATCCGGTTACCTGTCGCAGTCGGCAATGGATTTTCGCAAGTTGCTCCGCGAGGCGAGGGCCGAGGCCGCCCGCGACCGCGCAGGCCGCCAAGATGTGGCGCCCGAGAGCTCGACGCCCGCTCTCGAGAAGCCTTTCACAGAGCAGCCGCTGCCGCCACCCTTCGACTTTGCGCCACGGTACGCCATGACGACAGTTCCAAGGTCTGTAGCTCGCGTGGGCTAGGTCAGCGCTGTCGCTGCCAGCCCATGCCGTTCAAGACGGCGCCATCTACTACATTCCAGATCATCTACTACATTCCAGATTGGATCGCAGTCCGCCTCCTCAAGAACCTCTCCATGTGGGGTACGCCTCTTCTCGTCTTCGCTGCATGAGCCAAATATCGTCTGGCTAGAATTTTACGCGACTGAGCTCACGCAGAAGCAGAACGTGCGCTCACTTGTGAGTGTCGGCCGGTGAGAGAGGGATCATCTTGAGAGCGACGAGGCAAGATGCCGTCTGGCGACGGCATCTTGCCGCACGAAGACGGTCCAATGTACTACCCGCGGGTAGCTATCCTGAGCACGGGCGCTTCTGGCCGCATGACGTTCCAGCGCCACCGCCAGACGACGCCAAGCGACGTGCCGGTGCATTTGACGCTCGACCGACGCAGCCTCTTGGTCTTCACGGGCGAGGCGTACACTGAGTACCTCCACAGCATCGACAACATCGATGACGAGCACGGCGTCCACCATCGCATCTCGCTCACGATCCGCCACGTCCGTCCACCATCCCGGGCGTGCTAAGCCGTGTCGTCAAGTTGTTTCTATCTATATGGTTTTCGGCTTTATGATATACTAGTGCAAAACTGCCGTAGTACTTGGTACGATTTGGTCTCCCCGACATGAGCGACATGGTAGACGGACTCGGGGAGTACCTGCTCCTCGCAGAATTGAAGCCATTGCACTAGTGATTCTTCCAATGGGTTGGTGCACCACTTCTTGATCCCATCGAAT